CATTGATCCAGCCCGTCCAGATCCCTCTGTAGAGCTTTCCCACCCAACTTGGTGTCCTCTGCAAACTTACTGAAGGTGCACTCGATCTCCTCATCCAGATCATTGATAAGGATATTAAACAGAACTGGCCCCACTACCGAGCCCTGGGGAACACTGCTTGTGACCTGTTGCCAGCTGGATTCAACTCCATTCACCACAACTCTTTGGACTTGGCCATCCAGCCAGTTTTTTACCTAGTGAAGAGTACACCTCTCCAAGCCATGAGCAGCCAGTTTCTCCAGGAAAACGCTGTGGGAGATGGTGTCAAAGACGTTACTAAAATCTAGGCAGACAACATCCACAGCCTTTCCCTCATCCACTAAGCGAGTCACCTGGTCATAGAAGGAGATCAGGTTAGTCAAGCAGGACCTGCCTTTCATAAACCCATGGCGACTGGGCCTGATCACCTGGTTGTCCTGTACATGCTGTATGATGGCACTCACAATGATCTGCCCCATAACCTTCCCAGGCACCAAGGTCAGACTGACAGGCCTGTAGTTCCCCATATCCTCCTTCTGGCCCTTCTTGCAGATGGAAGTCACATTTGCTACCTTCCAGCCCACAGGGACCTCCCCGGTTAGCCACGACTGCTGGTAAATGAGTGAAAGCAGCTTGGTGAACACTTCTGCCAGCTTCCTCAGTATCCTTAGGTGGATCCCATCCAGCCCCAGACTCATGTGTGTCTATATGACATAGCAAGTGGCTAACCATTTCCCCTTGGATTAGGTGGGCTTCATTCTGCTTCTCATCCCTGTCCTCCAGCTCAGGGGGCTGCGTACCTGGAGAACCGGTCTTACTATTAAAGACTGTGGCAAAGAAGGCATTAAGTACCTCAGCCTTTTCAAAGACTTTTATTATACAGTCTACACCTTCCACCCAGAGAGAAGCTTAAAGAAGAAAGAGAAGGTGTCAGCCTCTGTAGTTTTAGGAATTTCCTATCAGAAGACAGCCCTGAAGCAGGTTCCAGAAACAGCTCCCAGCTAAAAGTGCCAGACTTTCTTCTAGTAGCTGCACTAAAAGCAAAGCTGAGGGTCTTATCCCATACTACAGGAATAAACATTACTGCTTAAGGGCAAGCGTGTACTGAAGTCCTAACAGCGGTTTTACATTACAGTAAGACAGGCAGAAGCTCTTACTTAGGAAGTTGGATACACTCCTCTCAACAGGGAGGAAGTGTTCATGCTAGTTCCCCATTGCTGGCTACGGGATGCTTGGGGAGCAGAATGGGCACTGAACCACAACGTAAGGCCAGCTCTCCCACGTGGCCACAACTAAGTGCTCTGTACAAGACAACTCTTCCTTTAAAAAGGATGTCAGCAACTTCACTACCAGGAGTCAGTTATCCTGGGGAAATAGTGCAAAGCAGAGGTGTTTCCTTTTCTGTTACGTCACAACAAACAAAAGCCCACATGCCATTTAGCAATACTGATGGTTTTGGTACCATGCTACAAATCTACCTATCGAGACAGCATGCAGTATTACACATTGAGCATTACATACATACCGTACCCTTTCTATTTGTTCTCACACTTGAGTACATTCATTTCCCAACAGCTGAAAGGGCCACCAGTACTTAAACATGCTTCTTGATTAATCAGTAGCTCACCATGTTCGGCAACTTCTGTATTCATTGTTTCTACATCTGCAGCATCATGCATCTCTTCATCCTCCTCCTCATCATCATCCTCTTCTTCACCATGCAGTTCTTTCGCAATGAGCTGTCTCGCCAGTTTGATGTTTCGCCCTTCATTGTAGTGCATTTTCCTCTTCATTTCAAACTGTTTCTTTTTCTCTGTGGACGAATAAATGCAAATATTTACTTCTTCCCTTTAAAAAAAAAAAAATCAACTTACTTCCTCTTCAGAGAAGCACAGTTTCCTAGGTCAAATTTATTCCTACCTTGAAAGTCCACTGATTATATGATCAAGTAATCACTGAATTAACATTATTTGCTTCAAGTAGTGGAGTGTTCTTTTAAATGAGACTGACTTACCCAAAGGCCAGTAATCAATGGACTGGAATGGCTGAAGCACTTTTAAAAGAACCTGCCTGCAAGTAAGAGCAAGTCTGAACCAAGAGAAGCATCTAGTAACGGCATACGAAATTCCAAAGCTTTGCAAGCCTTGTTTCTAAGTAAACTTAAGGACAAATTGAGACGTACTGGTGGGATAGAAGATGAATTTTTGCAGGTGTCCAACTCAACTCCTGGCTAGCTACCAAAGACCGGTTACGAGAGATATTTACCACATGTAGAAGAAAATAGTTTCCACTTTCACCATAGCCTGAAGCCTAACTGCTCCATATATTAAACATTAGCAGGTCTAGTAGTAATGCATTGTAACTAAATTAAACTTTCCTTATTGGCACCCCCAACACTATTTTTTTTTTTAGTTCCTTTAGAATAGTAAGGTTACATGCTCAAAGTTGGGGCCAGGAAAGATGAGAACCAACAGCTAGATAATACATGCCTGAAACCTTAGAAGCATTATTGTTTGACTGTTTCCTCAAATGTTCTAGCCCAAGCTAACAGAAAACAAGATCTCTGTTGAAGATGTAATTTGCTTCGGCAATAAAGGCAGACTTCCTGCTGGATCCATCTACCAGCTGCTTTGAAAACAGAAATATCATCTGTATGTTTGCAAGCAAGTAGCAGCATCTTAATTGCAGTGGTACTCACCGAATTGTTAAGTCTACCTGAAACATGTTCAGATTAAGAACTATCCCCTTACCCCAAAACCAGAAGAGCTTCTTATTTGAGAAGTCTAGGATTCTTAAGAGGAATTCCTACACCTTAAGCTTGTATACAAGGGGGGGGACAGTAGCAGCAAATTCCTGTTTATATGTAGATCCCAACCCAAACAGTCTTGATTAGAAACAAACAGCATATTTGTTCAATCTTTTATTCACCTTTCAAAGACTATTCATCTCTATTTTCAAATCACAACGTTTTTCTGATAGTACTTTTTCTTCTCAAATCTCTCTTACTGGAAATCTGAAACTGTTTGTAGGAGTAAAAAAAAAACACCAAAGAAAACAACTTACACCTACCTCGTTCTTCAGGTGTTAACTCTTCATCCTCTTCCTCCTCCTCACTGCTTTCCTCTTGCTTTGCTATGATCTTGGGTCCTTTACCTTCAGCTGCAGCTGCCAGTCTACATAAACCATGCAATACAAAATGCTGAAACAGCAAGTTTTTCACTATTTAAAATAATGACATTTCAGAACACAAAGTGCTTTGCTCCTTATTTTTGCCATATTTCTGTGTAGTAACAACCTACAAGAGGTTTTAAGTACCAGTGACCCTATCAAACACCAAAAACTACATAATTTCACAACAGCAAACATTTGACTTCTAGAAGAACACCTTTCCACAAAGAAAAACAACTCCAGGAAAGACAATTATCTTAACATTCAGTCAATTTTCTATGACAATACTTACTTTTTACTCAACACATCTGCTTTTAAGGGCTCATTTGATTCTGAATCACTGACTGCATCCTCATCATCTCCTCCTACCATGCTTGGAAGGCAAAAAAAAAGTAGTCTTTATCAATAATCTGCTGCTTAAAATTTGCTTGATAACAGTCAAAACCTTACCACACTCAATTAAAAGACTCCTTTAACACTTCAAAAACTTGCCAAATCTGATTTAAATATTGATATGACACTTTATATTCTAGTACACAGAAGTTAACTGAAAAAAATAAAATCAATACAAGTCAGACCTACTTATTCCATTCAAAGCCTAAAGCCTGATAGACATAAACCTTCTAAAAATTGACTTTGTCCTTTCTGACAGTTCTCCCCGACAGCTATAAGCCTTTATTTAGAAGCTTTGTGAATCTGAATGTTGTGTATACCCAGTAGGCCTGCGCAGTCTGCCAAGCAATCAGCTATAATAAACACTACATCATCCACAAAGTCAATTCTGCTGTAAAACTACTATGTCACCTGGCATCATTTAGGTCAGCAGTTTAGCAAGCCTACCTGTGATAAGGAGTACTTGGCTCATCTATTTTCATCAAGCCATAATCTTTGTCTGCGGGGTGGTACGTAGCAATGATGTTCATTTCATCCCACTTCTGTGACTTTTTACTGAAAAAATGAAAACAAATTTAAATTTTCTGATAGTCTAAAAACAATTAGTTCTGTTTGGTCACAGAAGAAATGTTTAGATTGTCTTTTGACCTCTACTACATACTAAGCACAAAGAATATTATGACACACAGGCATGTTCAAAATACGGCTATTAAATATTCTTCTATACATACTTCAGTTAAGCTGTGACAAATTATCAGCACAACTTTATTTCCCTGACAATTCACAATAGCTTAACAAACTCAGCAATCTATAAATGTATTCTTATTCATATCCACACACATATTTTTCTCAAGAGACTACTGGCCTTGTTCAATCACTGTCCCATTAGCTGTCTGCTCTTGTTACAAGTTATTGTAAGATCATTCTTCCTCTTATTACAACCCGCAACACTTCAACAAAACCAAATAACTTCCACCTCATCTCTGCTCAGTGAGATATGATTTTTAGCAAAAATTACATAAACAATACCAACCAACAAATAACTTCATGCAGTAAAATAAATAGCACTGAACAAGCTGGTTATTAATACTGCTTTTGTCATCCTAAATGGGAATCACAGAACAGAACTGATTCACTGCTGTAATTAAGCCAAGGGAGTGTCACATTTTACAGACAGGCACCAGTGATGTTACATTACTCAGAATTTTCTCAGTTAATCACAGAATGTACCACTTTATGTATATTCACAGAAACAAAAGCTCACCCAGACTGACAAAATACATAAGCTACAAGGAAAGCAATTGCTTTGTGGCCAGAGGAAGTGTCACCCCTCTACTTATTCAAAAGCCACAGAAACGTTTAATCAACAGAAGCGACAAGGCTCCTCATTTTATCTAAAAAGGTTATTGCAAGCTTCACAAGGTGGTCTTCCACTTAGACTAAGCCAAGAAACTTAACTTTAGAACAGTAAAATAATTCCACTACTTAATATTACCTCAATTAAGTAATTTATAATTTTATTACTTAAAATATAAATTTAGTATATTTTATATTAATCATATAATCATTATTATAATTTCTTAATGTTAAAATTGTTAATTTTAATTACTTTTATTAATATTAAAATATTGCTATATTTTATATTAATTATATAATACTATTAAGGAAAGCAACAGGAATATGTTAAGGAAGCACATGTTACAGGGCTTTATTGCTTTTGCGTTTTCTTTTTGGTTTGTCTTTTTTCTCAATATTTTGGTGGGGTTTTGGGTGGGGGCAGTTGGCTAGAAAACTTTAACTTACTGTACTCTTACACAGTCTGTGATTAAATAATAAGTTTGAAAAATATATTCAACCTCCAATAAAAACTGCTCTGGAGCAGAATGCTATCTGTAAAACAAAACTGACAAAGCAAAATCCCAAACACAAACTAAATTTTATATTGACGGAGAGCACTGTATAACACACTGGGGGAAAAAAAAATACAGGGATAAAAAACTAGAAGCAGGATTTGATGCTGAATCCTACATGCCACAGACTTATACTCCGGAAACACATACAAATTAAGTGAGCTTAATCCCCTTAGCATATAGTAACCAATGCCAAACTCTCATGTTTGAGGTTTCAGATGTATTTAATCATTTTGTTCGAACTGCAACACAAGGATTGCAACCTAAGCGGACAACACGTGAGTCAGATTGCCTGCTCTGGCAGGATGGAGAGTCATGAGCTTCATGACAAAGCAAGAGCTCTAGTCCCAGAACGCCAGTTATTCAAACCTACCTATTTAGGAGTCAAAAAATCATCAGTTAAACATCAGCTAAACACCTGCTTAAAGTTCATCTATGACTAACACAAGACAATTACACAGTTACATGGTGAGCGCATGAGGATTTCTACTAGCGATAGCAGTCGACAGTGGTACCCAGCCCTTGTAAAGAGACAGAGCTCAGTTAAAAAGGAAATATGACAGATGGGAGAAACTCCCACGCTTTGTGCTCGCTACACGTGCCCAGAGTGCATCAAGGTTTATTGCCTGGGCTCACAATATCCAACAATAATACCAGCAACCTTAGAAGAATCTCTTTGGCACACACTGCTCTCAAAGCCAGCCAGCCTACAGCTAGCAATTCAGTAACTTCGAAATACAAGACTGAGGAAGCTCTTTGTGGTTTAGTTTTTCACACTCATTCGTTAAACTCAGATTCCAACACCAAAAGCCTCGGCTGTGGAACGCCTCCCAAAGCACAATTTAAAGGTCAGCTAGGAAAAATAAATAAATACCATTAGTAGCAAACAGACAAACATGTCATTTCACCCCTCCATGTAAAAAGCCATCACAGGAGAGTGACTAAGTGCTCTAAAAACCCACACCTCCCTTGACTGTCTCCCATTTAGCATGCTTAGGCATGCCTGAGCAGCATAACGTTAATAACAGAGCTTAGGACCAGATAGAAAATACTTCCTGACACCCCTTCGGATATAGACATAGGAAATGTAATCTTCCTTATGAAAATCTGATTTGAAATACCTCAAAAGTGCTCATTTGTATTCTCTCACATCTTTAAATACACATAATCGTTTATTTTGACACCACACCTTGACAGGCAAGAAGTTTCTGCAGCAGTATTACTCAAAACACCTCTCACACCTCACTTGCTCCTACCATAGCAGACTCTTCTTTTGCCTGTTCCAACACAGGTGCTTGCACACACATACAGCCGTACACTTCCTTAGTTACTCTGTAAAATACCAGATCAGATCGTTCACAGACTCTTACAAGAGCCTTAAGGCAAAACATACTGTACACCCAGCATGCCAAGATCGTATCTACCATTAAACCATGATCTCAGCTCTTAGGATGCAGCTCCAGTGGTGTCCCAATCTCATAAGCTTCCCTCTTGCATCATATTTTTATTACAGAAATTTTCCAAAGAATTTTACCCTCACTAACAACAGTGCAAGGTCACTAATGATGCAAATAAACGAGAGCTCTACTGAACATGGTGCTTTAAAAGATGACAGCTGACACAATGAGCTCTTTCATCTGCAGCTATTTTTAAAGCTATTCAGACCCAAATTTCAATATTAGAAATAAGCAGAGAAGCTGCTGATACAGATGCATGAAGAAAAGAGACACCTGAATCCATAAAGTAATTTTTAATCCTTAAGGAAAATCATGGACATACTATTTATCATTCTTTTAAGAAAAAATTATGTTGCTTAAGTCAGAAATAACACTGATTTAATGAAGTGTTGCCAACCAAAAATAGTACCTGCACACAAACCAGCTTTAAATATCTTATACTGTTCTTTCCAGGAAATCTTTGATGCAGCCAGCCAGGTTTAGCCAATATCCTTTAACTTGCAAGGCAATTTCAGAATTAATCTAATCGACTTTACTGAATCACATTGGTCAACAGGAAATAGAAGCTGCTCTCCTGCCCACTTAACCGCTTTGCAAGAAATTAGTGTGTACTATAACCAATACACCATACTGAGCTGGTCAATTTGTACTCTCATTTCTGATCATTCTTCAAGATGGTACAAAGAGACTGAAGAACATGAAACAGAGGCTACCAACAGCCAGTTCTACTTTATGTCTCATGTGGTACTAAACATGTTATGCTACACTATATTAAAACTAAAGAATAGCGGAAAAAAAGCACAACATTGTGTAGCATATTGCTACTTACATTCAGCTCCTTCAAAAAACATCATCTCATTCTTTCAGCTGCAATAATTTCTCCCTGGAAAGCAGAAGCAGCTAACACAGGCAACACAGCAAGCCAAAAACTTTTCACTCTTACCTTACTGACTTTAGGCTATACTCATGATTTAACTAGGCAAAGAGGAAAGGAATATTACCATAATACCAAAAAAAAAAAAAAATAGTAATTGCACGTCCATTTTATTTATCATTATTTCTCTCCTTGCAATACCGAGTGAGGTTCCAAATGATGAAAACCCTCAAAAGTAATTTTGTAAAGTTCAGGTCAAACACTAGTCATCACAACGTGATGGGAGTCTCAGAGCAATGTTAGGCAGCACGTACAGGGTGCTAACATCAGGAAAAGTGCAAGAATTCTTACTGGTCAAGGACAGCTGCTGGCTGGCTAAAGACCACTTCTGCATATTTGGACTAATGCGGCGTGTTACAACTAAACCAGGATTTTCATGTCATTCCAAACACAAACCACATGGCCAGTGCATATTCTCAAGTGCAAGATCTTTACAGATGAATCGTGCACAACGGAGAATACATCTTATATTTCAGCCCAGGAGAGGTCCTCTCCCCAGGGACACGCTTCTGGCTGCAGAGAAACAAGCCACCTTTGAGAAGACCAAGAATAAACCTCCCATGGCAAAGCCCGTTTCCCAAACTGTACACTAGCCTTCTCGCAACTGTAAAGCCTTCCCGTTTGTCTTTCTGAACGGCCATTTAAGGATAACACAGCTTCTGCAAACACTTCAACACCAGCAAAGAACCACACCAGCTTTTCCAGCTGCCACACCGCGCTCTCGGCCGTACCACGGCGGCAGGCCGGCAGCCCTCGCTCTCTCCGCCCCGGACACCCAGGCGCACCGCCCCGGCTCTCCGCACGCTCTTAGCACAGACCCTGCCCCGCTCCAGCCCCGCTGGGGGCTCCCACGCCCCCGGCCGAGGGGCGGAGCCGTACCTCAGGACCACCGCAGCGCGGGAACGACGCGCTAACCCGCTCACCCCGGTTCTGCCCCGCCCGCTTCACACCGCCCCTCAAAACGCGACAGCCCGGCAACCCCCGACCGGAGCCGCCGCCT